ATAGTTAAGCGTATTCTTGAAGAGTCTGCGCGAGGATTTGCGCCTACAAAGCTTAACGTTTAAGTAATAGCTAATAAACTGTTAGAGGAGCGTGGTGGCAACCCTGTTGGCAAAAACTAGGTTGACAACTTCGTTAAGCGGACTCCTGAGCTCCGTACGCGCTGGAGCCGTCCCTATAATCACTAGCGAGCCGCCTGCGAGGATCTAGTGGCTATCCAGCGCTGGTTCGACTTAGTCCAGGCGACAAGGCAGAAGTGGGGTATTGTAGACGACGATATCTATAACTTTAACGAGACTAGCTTTATAATAGGCAAGATTTTATTATAGTTAGTTATTATAGCATTAGAAGGATATAGGAAAAAGAAGCAGATACAGCTAGGCAACTGTAAGTAGGTTACTATAATCCAAGGCGTGGGCGCGTTAGGTCGCCGAATACCACCCTTTGTTGTCTTTGCGGGCAAGGTACTTATTAACGTCTAGTTTAAGAATTTGCCTGCTAACTAGGTTCTTAAAGTTAGTCCCAATAGCTAGACGAATAATTAGCTTAGTCTTGCCTAGTTAGAGCACTTTAATACCTATACAAAGAGCTCTACTATGGGTAGGTATCGACTGCTTATTATCAATGGCCATAAGAGCCACTGCTCTGTCGATTTCCAAGATCTTTGCAAGGAGAAGAATATTGTGCTTCTCTACATACCTGCGCACTCGTCTCACCTGTTGCAGCCCCTTAACGTCGCCTGCTTCTCGCCGTTAAAGCGCAAGTATGGCGACGCTATTTCAGGCTTAGCACGCAACCGCACCTACTATATCAGCAAAGAGACCTTCCTACTAGCCTTTAAGACTGCTTTTAAGCAGTCTATTACAAAGGAGAATATCCAAGCTAGCTTTAGAGGCGCTGGTCTAGTCCTACATGACCCACAGGCTGTGCTATCTAAGCTTGATGTAGTAGTGCAGACGCTAGTACAATCACCACGACGGACAGCCGCCTGGCAGGCGCAGACACCACGCAACGCGCGCGAAGTTGAGTCTTAAATTGGTCTTATTTAAGAGAGCGTGAGAAAACGCCGTGGGTCTTCTGCCAATTTACTTACTAAGCAGATCGCGTAGCTAAGTAAGGGGGCCTAGCAAATGGCATATAAAATGACGCTTATAATGGAGGAAATGGGTACGCTTCGAGCGGCTCTTAACGAGTTAAATAAGCGTAAAAGCCGCAAGCGGCGATACGTACAGATAGAAGAGACTCTTACTATAGGCGAAGTACAAGAAGTATTAGCTAAATAGGCGGGTAGCAGTCGTGGTGATGGTGAGAGTGCGTTGAAGAGGGTGCGAGGAGAGCGGCGGTGCGGGCGTTGCAAGCAGACTGGACACAACGCTCGTACCTGCGTAGGTGAGATAGATAGTGCAAGTAATAGTAGCGATTCTAACAATTAATTTAGTGTATCGTAATAGTTTATTGACTGTGATAAAAAACTGTGATAACGTGTTGATGTAGATGTAGTGGTGGGGCGTTAGCGACTCGCTTGGGTTAGCGACTCACTTGTGAACCACGTTATACAGAATATTACTTCTATTATAATAAGTTTTTTTTTACCTTTTACACTATAAACTTAGAAGCCTTATTATATTAGTAAGACTCAAAAAGTATAAATACAATATTCCTATCATATAGTATAAGTATATGAGTGAATTTTATTCATGTTATATACATAATATTACTAGATATTTTAATTACGTTCTCTTATAGCTAAGAATAAGCCTCTAAAGCCTGTCCTTGGCGTAAAATTATGTAATAAAAATATTGACAAAAAAACTCTAAGTAAGTACACAAAGGGCCGCGGCATTAGGTGATTAGTAGTCAAATACGAAGCCTTTAGATTGTAGACTTTCATAAGAAAATTGCGTGTGGCGTAAACGTCGAATAAGATGAACGTTTTGTGATGATTCTGGACGTTTGCATGGGTGAGGTGTCAGCATCCTGGTGCCAAGTCGAGATTACTTATTGGATTCGGTCTTAAAGCCGTACAAAACAACACATTTTGTTTTGTTGTAAGCGCTAGAATTCGCAACAAAGCCTGCATCTCTAGCATAATCTCTCGTGATCATGTCTTAGAAATCCCCTTCCTATCGGACCTCTTAATATAAAGGTGTTCCAAAATACTTACGAAGAATGTGGTGATTTGCTAGCTGCTTTTCTATGCTTGGCAGTAAGACCGATTTACGTTTTGCATTCTTCAAGCCACATCATGATTGGCAACTAAGACCGCATTGACATATTCTCAAAGAGCAGCTATCCAGATTCGACTTTATACGAGAGAAATGACTTACCGCTTCCGTTGCAATCCGTGGAGAAGCAATAAAAAGTCATATTCTTAGTAACTACATGTTCTTTTCTACCCGTCTTACTGTACATATGCCAAGATGCACGGACCGACGGTTTGTAGCTAACTATTTCACTTACTCAAATCATGGTTAGTGTATTTCTATACCTGTGCTATGTTTATGCTAGTGACTTAAGCTAAGTCTCTCTTGGACATTGCGTTTGCTAGACGAAGTTTTAAATACCTTTTGCATCGTGGTCGCGCATATCTTAGAAAATCTTGAGCCTGAATGCCGAGCGTGCAACTGCCTTTACGAGAGCCGGCGTGAACAAGTTGTTTATGATAATCTGCTATGATAGGGTGATCTACCGCATTTGGCGACCCGCCCTTTATGAAGTCGCACACGGCATATGAATGTAGGGAACTTAGTACAGAAGGAGAAAATGATGTACATGCCTCGTAAACAACTTACCGTATTCGATATTCGCCGGCAAGGAACCGCGGTAGTAAGCTAATCTACAGGGCATGCAGTTTCATTTAGAATCCCTGCATGCCGACAGCGAATTTACGTCACTAGGTCATCACAACCAACAAACAAAGCTGGATAGAGAGGTGAGTTGTTTTGAAACAAAATCTTACACCATGTTCTTGTAAAACCGATGTTCATTTCAGAATTCGGTTGCTACGGTTCAATTGATAAGAAAAAATGCATAACTATACAGATAGTTGACGCCTGGGCTGACATGCGCCTGTGAGTAGTGGTTCGAGAATGGCATGAAAGAGCAAGAGGGTGTGATGGAATAGTCGGCGAAACAGCTCCATCTATCCGCGCTGGGTTGAAGAGCCTGAAATCAATTTCTGCAAGGGGTACCTCATTCGTTTCAGTCATGCGAAACATGGCAACCGGAACAACGCATCGTTCTGCGTCTGGGATTGCGTGAAACCTTGTCTGTCATCCCCTGAACAGCATGTCCATCAACACTTGCAATCACTCGACCAGCTTCAAAATCGAGAACTTGAACAGGCCCGATGTTTTTGGTGGCTTCGCTTAGTAGTCGCTTCTGAATACGTGCCGCAGGCCTGGGTTTCGAAATACAGTTTTAGAGATGAATGGTTGATAAGCACAAGAGCTGCAAGAGGAATGGCCCAATTCACGGCTTGGTTTTCGCCAAGTTTAATAGGCCCACCGTTGAAAACTAGGTTAGAGTGTTCTCCGCCCCGTGCGCAATTAATCCAAACTGTTCTGATGTGGGGTGCGTTCCCAACGGCTAATGTATGTTTGCGGAGAATGGCTGGGATCATGTCTAGCTGCGGAGATGTTGCCATGTCAAAAGAACATATATAAGGAGCGACAAACGCCCCCAAAACGCCCACCACCACCATCATCACACACAGAATCCAACCGCCAGACAAAACTGCACACCTTCTCAAGATGCATTACTCCGCCACTCTACTCAGCACCATCGCGGCCATTTGTGCAACTGCCAATGGCGCACTCACCACCGTCACCAACTTTGGATCCAACCCCACAAATCTTCAAATGAACATTTGGGTTCCCTCCACTTTGGCCACGAATCCTGCAATCATTCTTGCCGTGAGTTATCAGTAATGATTGATAGATAATACCAAGACTGACTCCGGTAGTTGCACCCATGCGGAGGCAGCGGCCAAGGCTACGCCCAGAGCACACAATATACCAGACTAGCAGATCAAAAGGGATTCATCGTAATCTTTCCTTCGACTAGAAATGATAACAACTGCTGGGGAGTCAATACCGCGGCCGACCTTTCTCATGGCCAAAACGGCGACAACGCTGGCCTGAACAACATGATCCAATACACGATCAAAACGTATTCAGCCGACGCCAACAAGGTCTTCGTCACCGGTAGCAGCTCTGGATGCATGATGACCAACGTCATGATGGCCACCTACCCTGATGTAGTCAAGGCCGGATCCTGCTACTCTGGTGTGGCGGCTGGCTGTCTCGCCGGAAGCCCTGGTGCCAGCCCTGGCACTGCTGACCCTCGCTGCGCAAACGGCCAGATTCAAAAGTCACAAGCCGACTGGGTTGCCCAAGCTAAGGCCATGTATCCATCGTGGAATGGTCCCTACCCCCGCATGATGACTTGGCACGGAACTGCGGACAATGTGGTTAGATACGCCAACCTGGCTGAGCAGCTGAAGCAGTGGAGCGGCCTGCTTGGCGTGTCATTCTCAAACAACGTCACAAACTCCCCACAATCAGGTTACACAAAGATGGTCTGTGGTGACGGCACCAAGCTTGTTGGATACAGTGCGGTGAACGTAGGTCACACTGTGCCCGTGCATGCGGACGAGGATCTCAAGTGGTTTGGACTTTAAGCGGTCCCAAATCGTCTTCATGGACGAAAACCATCCTCCATAGCCTCTTTCAAATTCACGTACATACATTAGCAGCAGGCTACTGTCGCAGCTGGAACGAGTCGAGATTGGAACGGTTCATGGTTTTTCCCACTTTTCCCACGAAACTCAAATTGCCTAGGCTCCCCAAAAAATACCCTTCTATCCAGTAAATAACGTGGTTCATAAGCGAGTCGGTCACCCAAGCGAGTCGGTCACTCCCCACCAGCGCGTCGACGTTGATACTACAACGCGTTATGTCTCAACAACACAACTATCAATTAACTTATCCTAAATCAGATCTTCAACTTGCTCTTTTTAATATCTAATTACAACGTGTTTAAAGCTAAAGACGCGCTGCCTCTATCTATAACGTGCCTTAAAGTACAATATCTAATCAACAGGCTAGAAAGCGCCCCCAACGCGACTGTGAACTAAATTCAAAGCGCCTAAATAAGTTAGAAGAGGAGGCTATTATTAGACGTATTTTTAAAGAGTCTGCGCGTGGATTTGCCCCTACAAAGGCTAAGGTTCGAGCAATGGCTAATAAACTGTTAGAGGAGCGTGGTGGCAACCCTATTGGCAAGAATTGGGTTGACAACTTTGTTAGGCGGACTGCTGAGCTCCGTACGCGCTAGAGCCGTCCCTATAATCACTAGCGAGCCGCCTGCGAGGACCTAGTGGCTATCCAGCGCTGGTTTGACTTAGTCCAGGCGACAAGGCAGAAGTGGGGTATTGTGGACGACGATATCTACAACTTTGACGAAACTAGCTTTATAATAGGCAAGATTTTATTATAGTTATTAATCACAGCATTAGAAAGATATAAGAAAAAGAAGCGGATACAGCCAGGCAACCGTGAGTGGGTTACTGTGATCTAAGGCGTGGGCGCGTTGGGTCGCTGGATACCACTGTTCGTTGTCTTTGCGGGCAAGGTGCTTATTAACGTCTAGTTTAAGAATTTGCCTGCTAACTAAGTTCTTAAAGTTAGTCCTAATAGCTAGACGAATAATTAGCTTAGTCTTGCCTGGTTAGAGCACTTTAATACCCATACAAAGAGCTCTACTGTAGGTGGGTATTAACTACTTATTATTGACGGCCATGAGAGCCACTGCTCTATTGAATTTCAAGATCTTTGCAAGGAGAAGAATATTATTCTTCTCTGCATGCCTCCACACTCGTCTTACCTGTTGCAGCCCCTTGACGTCGCCTGCTTCTCGCCATTGAAGCGCAAGTATGGCGACGCTGTTTTAGGCTTAGCACGCAACCGCACCCACTATATCAGCAAAGAGACCTTCCTACTAGCCTTTAAGGCTGCTTTTGAGCAGTCTATTACAAAGGAGAATATCCAAGCTAGCTTTAGAGGCGCTGGTCTAGTCCTACATGACCCACAGGCTGTGCTATCTAAGCTTGATGTAGTAGTGCAGACGCTAGTACAATCACCACGACGGACAGCCGCCTGGCAGGCGCAGACACCACGCAACGCGCGCGAGGTTGAGGCTTAAAGTACTCTTATTTAACAGAGAGTAAGAAACCGCCCTAGGTCTTCTATAAATTCTCTTAACGAGAAGGTTGTACAGCTAAGTAAAGGGGCTTAGCAAATAGCACATAAGATAACGCTTATAAGGGAGGAAGTAGCTGCTCTTCAAGAGGCTCTAGACACAGCAAATAAGCGTAAGAGCCGCAAGCGGCGATACGTACGAACAGAAGAGACTCTTACTGTAGGCGAAGTACAAGAAGTATTAGCTGAACAGGCGGGTAGCAGTCGTGGTGATGGTGAGAGTGCGTCGAAGAGGGTGCGAGGAGAGCGGCGGTGCGGGCGTTGCAAGCAGACTGGACACAACGCTCGTACCTGCGCAGTTGAGATAGATAGTGTAAGTGATAGTAGCGATTCTAACAATTAATTTGGTATATTGCAATAGTTTATTGACTGTAATAAAAGACTGTGATAACGTGTCAACGTTAACGCGCTAGTGGGGAGTGACCGACTCGCTTGGGTGACTGACTCGCTTATGAACCACGTTATATATTTTTGGATCCAACGGATTTTTCTCAAATGCATGTTGCCTATTCGTGATTCTGGGTCGACGCTGCTTTTTCCACAAGTAGTATCAATCGGTTTTAGCTTCTGATTAAAATGGCGCAAACCCATGAAAAATTCCGGATTGACGTCTGAATGCACCAATAAGGTAGACGATCACGATAGGCTGGTCTCTTTTTCATGCAAGTAGGTCCCAATACTGCGGCCCTTGACATGGCGAATACTAGCTGGTTTGTTATCGACACGCAAGCAACACATAATCATGCATACACAAGTCAATTGAGAGTACTGAAGATGATCGGCATTACAAGGCAATATAAGCATAGCGATGAATCGAATCGTTCGCGCCGTTGTTTCAGACTTCCTGTTACAGCCGCACCACGTGCCATCTCAATGCAAGCCTTCGATGTATCAGGATACGATAGAGGTCCCGTGATGACACTATATGCCAAACCTGCAGCTAAATGCGCTACCTTAAATTCCTAGTCTATCTCATGAATAGAAATCATCCAAAGATGTGTTGCGCGAAGGATATCGTAGCTATAATCACTAAGAAACCCTAGTGCCAAGTATCCGACTCTTCCGCACTAGTCTTCCTGGCAGAATGTTAGAGTTATTATCTAGAAGAGAGAAGCACACATGGCCTTTCGCCTGTTGGGAGAACTGTCTCAGCGCTGGCCCCGGTATTTGGTGCAGTTGCCGCTTACCCCGCTAACTAACCCTACTTGCTTCATTTCATATAGCGTATCCGTTCTATACTCACATTGAAAGTCCCGCCGGTTGTGGTAGACGCGCGGCTAACAATGGTGTCTTGACTAAACCTGTTGGAGAGCTATAACCTCTACTAGTTCTGTGGTGACCGTTTTGAGAGCAGTATTCCGTAGTTCTTGATTAATGCAGGCAACAGTCATTATTACAAATTCGACAAATTAGGACACCTACTGGTGCCTGAGAGTGCAAGTTTCTAAGTATGTAATTTACCTATAGTCAAGAACCATTATACGTAAAGACCTCTATCGGTTTGTTCAGACGCGCACTTATAAAGCCTCATCTCTTGCTCTACTTTTATATGTTCTTCACAATGATACCCATCGCATTATCGTTATATTG